ATATTGCTCTATTTTAATAAAAGAAGAGAGGAAGAATAACGAAACACGGAGGAGGAATGAAATTGTACGATATTCCTATAAATATTAACTAATATTTATCATTCCGTGATTTTTCTATAAATATTAAGTGTCTCTGTTATGTTATTTAATATTGAGATATTTAATCGCAGTTCGACTTTAATAGAATTATAGTTTCTTTTCATTTATTTATGAATACTGTTTATAAGATTTTGTTTAAAAGAATACAAGAAAAGCAATAATCAGTATTATTATTAGTAATATTATTTCTAGCATTAGCATGCTGTTAGATTTTAATAAAATAGAGCGTAAGATTTAGAGCATGATTCTAGAGTGAAAAGTTTTAAGAGCATTGAGATTTTAGAGTGAAACTTTATTACAGCATAGGAAGTTTGTAACTTGGAGAGCATCAGTATTCTAGAGTATAGGAATTCTAGAGCAAGGGAATTTTAGAGCAAAGGAATTTTAAAGTATCACACTACAATGTGAGGATTCAATAACATTGAAAAGACTTACAATACGAGGATTGTATAGTGTGAAGATTCTAGAATGTAGGGACATTAAGATATAAATATTGTTGAGATTTTAGACCATAAGAATTTTATAGCAAAGGATTGTGGTACATAAGAACTCTATAAGATGTGAATTTTGAACCACAAGAACTCTATAACGTGGAGACTCTAGTGTGAAGTTGTAGCATCGAGAAATATTAATTAAAGTATCTAGCCTACTATTAATGATTTTAGTTATAGTATCTAGTATAAATACACTATAGTATAGAGTTCATAAAATATGAGGATTCTGAGAGCACAGGAATTCGATAAAATGGAAATTCTAATGTGTGAGAGTAGCATGAGATTCTAGAGAGATTGCAGTGGAAATTTTAGAGAATAACAATAGGCAACTTTAGAGTATAGGAACTGTGCAGTATTCAGAACTCTAAAGTGGAAGAAATCTGAAGCATGAGCGTTTTAAAGTAAAGAAATTCTAAAGCGTGGAAATTTTAAAGCAAGAAATTGTGATATATGGAAATTGTTGAGCATGTGGATTTTAGAGTAAAACATTTTAATATCTGGAAATTCTAGAGCGAAAAAATTCTATAACACGAAGATTCTAAAGCATAAGAATTCTATAGCATAAGATTTCTAGGGCATCCGAATTCTAGATAATTGAAATTATAGAGCTTTAGAACTCTAAAGCTTGTGGATTTTAGAGAGTGAATATTTTGTGATGTAGGAATTTTAAAACGCAGAAACGGTATAGTATGACAATTCTATAGCGTGGGAACCTTATAGCAAAAGAATTCTATAGTATGGAAGTTCTAGAGAGTGGGAATTTTAGAGCATTAGAACTCTAAAGCTTGTGGATTTTAGAGGCTGGGTAATTTGGGGTATAGGATTTTCAAAATGCAAAAATTTTATTGTATGACAATTCTATAGCTTGGAAATCTTATAGCACGAGAATTCTATAACATAGACATTTTAGAGAGTGGGAATTTTAGAGTGCTAGAATTCTAGAGCATGGGAATTTTAGAGTGTCAAAATTATAAAATACAAAAAATTCTAGAGGATGTAAATTTGACAGTGTTGGGAATTCTAGAGCACAGCAATTACAAAATGTGTAAAATTCTAGAGCACACGAATTATAGAGCGTCCGTATAGTACATAAAATTTAAAATATAGAAAACTCTAAAACTCTAACAATTCTAAAACATAAATATTAAGATATCAATTATAAATAGTGGTGATGTCAAAAGTGGCAATATAACTAGAGTTCACCGTACCACAAGTAACCACTAAACAATACGAATTGCAGTAATAAAATTGTTGCAAGTTATTCCGCAATATTATCCGTCTAAAATTAAACGCAGTCTATCTGCATATTTATATGCATACCACGTTTCATAAATATTAAATTTTGTTTCGGAAACCTCGAAGAGCTTCCATTAACCTTAGCTTGATTGCGTTTTAATCAAAGACACTTATTCGCGGCTAACAAACGCTAACAATCGCGTTCGTGATTCAACAGCGATCATCCGAAGTTTAACTAGAAATTCACATTTACAATACCAGTTTAGAGTAGCTCGAAAGTTCTCCAATCTCGGAACGAAACTTTGCGCTACCTCTTGTAACTTCGTAAAAAAAAACTACTCGGCTCTGATTTCGTCTAATGAGGCCTGACTTTCGTGAAACTCGAATTTTTGTACGACTCGTTATTATTCATAGATCGAACGATTCAATATTCGTCGCGTTTGTCGATGAAATTCATGAATATTTTTTAACGAATACGTATTTATGAAATGTTGTTATTCATAAAAATTAAACTGTAAATTAAACATAAATTTTGTTGAATAATACTTTGTGTTAAGGTTACTCGATTTTATATTTTTATGTTGCGTCAAGTTTAGTTATTTTATTTTATATTAAAAGAAACTCAAGCTCATATACAACGTTGTTACATAAATATGTTTAATTTTCATAATATTCAATTATGTGAATTGTAGAGATTTATTATTGAATATATCTATTAAAAATTCAACAATAACATAAATATAACAGACAATTGACAAATAGTCAATGCAATAATAATAAAGATGGCAAACATTTACAGCAGTGTTTACGTAAGGCGGGAAATTTAAATGAAATATCAAATAAAATTTAAACGAAACGTTGCTCGGGTATAAAATTCCTGAAGAATAAATTGTTCACATAATTTAATGAGCGCGCTCTCGACGTGCTATATTGCACAGCTCCAAGCACGTGAATGCACATAACATTTGCGTTTTCGCAGCGGAGAAAAAGGGAACAAAATGGAAATTATGTCTAAAATGGCTGATATCTGTTAGATCATCAGATTCACCCCTTTTTCCTTCCTCCTTTTTAATCTAATTTTGCATGCGCCATCTGCTGGGCAGCGGTACGCATGCGTTAGTTTTTTCTTTCGTACACTTCCTGTAAAGAGTACAGATGTCAACCCACGAGTTGGCGTGTGATCGACCCAAAAAGAAGCTCTATCCCCATCGTGAATTCTAGTATCGTAGAACGAAGACTATTCTACCATTGGTCTCGAGAAAGTGCTCTAGTGTAATTCGATTATTGCTGCGTACTACACTCTTACAGGTGTCGAAGGTTATGTGAAATAAAAGACACGTAGAATGGAAGCTAAGTAAATAATTATATTTAAGAACGGTGGAGGACTGTTGAGAGAAACTCGGTGAATACAGGAAGGGCGCATGACTAAAGAACAGCAACAGCACCGTAGCCAACCCACGAGTTGGCGCGTGATTGACCCAAAGTAACAGAAGCTCTATCCAACCGTGAACACTTCCTGGGTTACATACAGGCAAATAAGAATAATAATGACAATAACAACTGCTTTCGCGCAAGTAGCACTATCTCACTCACTTGAGAGACGTTTGCCGACTGTCATTGTTTTTCGCCTAATTGGTGACTGCTCGAGCCAATACCACCGTCGTAAATTCGTGTGAGGCGTCCATTTTTCTATCCTGACCAATTGGAGTCGTGTCTGTTTGGGGATGTAGCGATTTGGGGACATAACGATTTGAGGATGTAGGAATTTGGGGACATAGCGATTTAGGAATGCACCAATTTGGGGATGTAGCGCGTCCATTTTTCTATTCTGACCAATGTAGCTCTTCTAAACACGTCAGCTTCACGCGCCAACTCGTGGGTTGACAGCAGTACATACAGAAGCGTGAAATAAAGTGTCCTCATAAAATCCGTGTGATTCAATAATATCCACTGTTATCCTTAACCTATTTAATCCCCAAATGGGGATTTGAATATATACTTTTATATACTTTCGTTTTATCTCTTCCAATAGGATTACATCAATAGGATTATAACCTTCACAGAGTTCAAAATAAATATCAGAGCAAGTTTCAATAAGAGAATGTTTGCGGAATTCGCATGTGTTATTTTTGAAAAAGAGGTAACATATTGATGTGACTATTATCTAATCTATTGAAAAAGATTTACTTTTTGTAATGATAGTAATATTAAGGAAATTGTTGTTTAAATATGAGAAGTGGTAAAATTTCACAGTGAATTAATTTTTTAAATCTGGATCGTTGAGTAACTTGTAACTATAGCAGAGGTCTTCTATGAACTACATTCTTTGTACGTTCGATGTAACAGAAAATGTACAACCTGTTCTAAAATTGTGGTTAAAGTGATTTTTGTGGTACTCTTCAATCTTGATCGCCACAAAACCTGTCCTAACCATCTATAGTATCGGATATACTTTCATACAAAATTTCGTGAAAAAATATTCAGTAGTTTTTGCGTGATGCTACATGCATGAAATTCAACTCAAGTTTTTCTATGTAAATATATAGTATTTAAATGTATATAACAGTTGCTTTTAGAAATCATAATAGGTTCAAATAATTATTTGTGTCAAGGATAAAAATTATATATTTAGAATTTTAGATTGTTATTATTGTGAAATTTTGATATTTTCCTTATGGAGCCCTTGGCGCAGGGAAATATCAAGGTTTTGAGAGGAGAGTTTTATTTTAAGGTGGATGATTTTTTGAATACTTAAAAATGTTCAAATTTAATTTTCTTGAAAATAAAGTCACATATTAACAAAATTTATTCCATATATTTTTTACTTACTTTTCCATGTTGATTCATCTATATTGGTTGAACAATTTCAAAACCACCCTATATAAAAATGTATATAAACACATTCCAGTTTTCAACATCACTTTCTTTCAATGTTATAACTAAAAGTATTCTATACACAATAAATTAAAAATTCTGCATTTAACGAGTGAATAAGAACTGACAATGTCTGTATCATAGCAAAATTTAGAAATGGCGTACGTAAGATAGACCAGAGGCATAATTTCGATTTCACTGTTCGATAATGGCTGGAATTTCCCGGGAATTATATCTGGAGGGTAGCTAGCAGCGAAATCAATTTCTGTGCCATTAAATCGTATGTTCGAGACTCACCTGATTCCTCCACGAGTGGTGTCGTAATTTAGCGTTCGGGATCCGTGCCGCCACGTAACGTAGCCGGTGGGTTGCGGTATATTGCTGACCACACACTTCAATTCTATCGTGCTGCCCGCTTTGTAGAATTTGTCACCTGCCGTGGCACCGTGTTCGTCGACGATCTCCACTCTCGGTACTGAAACACGCAACCGTCCCTTTTTATCGACGTATCTCCCTCTTTTGTTTCGGCAAAATATTTTATCGCTCACTACTGTTTACGATAGGCCATTGAAAAGAGCCGAAGGTAAACGGAAATCGCGCCACCGCATTAATATCGCGTTTATAATGTGAAATGCAAGGCAATAAATTGAAAGTTCATATTTAAGAATCGAATTCTAGTAAATGGAATGGGATTTAGTGCGCGCGACAATTTGCGACGGTGAACGAGGTAAATATAGTACGGTTTCGCTGTTTTTGCAGAATTTTTTTAATGCGTGTTCTGAGAATTGAAATTTTGGAGATTGGAGGGGGTGGAAACATTGGGTTGTGGGAAATGAGACTAAATTGCTATGAGTGGGGCGAAATTTTGAGGAATGATAGTAACTTATAGAAAATTATAATGAATTTTTAAGAATGAGACGAAATTTTGAGGAATGATAGTAACTTATAGAAAATTATACTGAATTTTTAAGAATAGGACTAAAAGTTGAGGAATGAGACTAAATTCTAGGAAATTACGTTAAATTCTAAGGAATGTCATTATTTTTTTGTGAATGGCATGCTTGATTTCTAAAGTCCCGCGAAATTTAAGAAAAAGCATAGAATTCATATTTCTAGCACCTCAAGTCTCTAAGTTTATAAAGCTATGTATTTTAGATTTATAAAATACCTAACAATTTAACAAAAATCACTAGAAACATAGAAATCTAGAACTCTTGTGATTTTGTAGTTTTAGAAGATAGACTCATAGAGTCCCTAGAAGTTTGAGAAAATCCCTAGATACTTATTGTTAGTTCCAGTCTTCATTCTTTAAGATTCCAGTCTTTAAACCCAAAATTAATAAAATTGCTAGACACATAATAAATAAGATCAAGAACGTACCTATAAATCCCTAGATTTTTAAGCCACTGAGTTCTAGAATATGTAAAAAGTTAATAATAACCCTGAAAGTCTGATAAAACTCTTAAAACTGTTATAAAAACATTAAAAACTCTAAATTCTAAATTCCAAATTATCATGTTTCTAAATCAGTAGATCCTTTCATCCTACGTCCCTAGATTCAAAGATATTTTTATTCTAAATCTCCACAATCTCTATAACCGTAATATAGAAAACTCTAACATTCAGAGTCTATAGCTTTTGAAGTTAAGGAATGTAAATATAAAATCCCTAGATCACAAGATACTTTTATCCTAAATCCCGAAAATCTCTAGAAACATGATATAGAAAATCCCAAAATACAGTATATAGCTTTTAAGGTTAATGAATGTGAAAATCCCTAGATCCTATAACCTATTGAGAACGCAACGAAAGAAAAGATATCAATTTAATTATTGTAATAACTTAAGATGATAAAATTAGTAATGAAGATCTACTGAAACGAAAGAAAAGAATGAGAATTCAAAGAAAAATAGTGGATGCCTATAACTAAGTATAGAAAATGGGAAGACGTAACCTGAAGCAAAAAGCCGAGAACAAAGAGCATCTGGTGGTGCGAGAGACTAAAACAAAATGGACGTCGGAAGGTGCATGTCACAGAAAAATGGCCGAGCACGAGCCTAGGGGACATTTGGAACCCAATATTGAGAAAAATCGCGGAAGTATGGGATTTCTGGAGGAAATAGTTCCTATTTTTCACGAAATCCACGAAATGACTTCCGATCATCAAGTATTAACCTAGAAATATGTATTAAACTTCTATAACTTTAATTTTTGAGAGTATAATATAAGAGACATTTTAGATACACTATCAAATGTATAAAATGTAGAGAACAATATTAAGTGACAAAATTAATTTTTAATTTTTAGTTAAATTTTTGTATTTGTAATTTTTGTAAAAGTAACCTTGCATGTAAAGTATATACGCAATCGATAGATATAAATAATAACTATGCGCAGTGAAATTATTATACTTTTATTTGAGTATACTAGTCGTGTCATGTTTACTGCGCATGTTTATTGCTTGTCGTTTATTGCTTGGCGCATACGTTTAATTTTCAAGGTCAATTTCTCACAGTCAACGTTATTAATAAACTTGTTACATTTGTATCGTTTGTATAGGTCCAAAATGAGCTTGAATATAACCTAAAGAAATAAAATAATAAACAGTTCAGTGTTCAAATTAATTCTTGAATAAATCACAAATTCTAATTATTTTATTGTAGTTTTGAATTCGAAATGGCGGACGAACAAATTCAACGATAACTCTTAATTCCAATTATACTGTCTCTTATTAATATTCAGATACTATGATTCTATCTATTAATATTCCTTCTATTTGCATATAATTAAATCAACATATTTTTTAGTTTCTTTTTTGTAGCAATACTGCAATTAATTGCTTTGTCACATAATAAATGGTACAATAGGAAATGTATATTTATATCGCAAAAATATTTCATATTTTTCTGCAGCTTTCACGATGTTTATAACCATATAACTGTTAAGGAAGATGTAGAGCACACTCCGAAATATCAGTTATTATTATGAAATAATTGTAATCAGATATCGTGAATATTAATAAAAGTTACTGTACTTATTCATCCCATAATAAATGCAGATTCTATAACAATTTTATTCAAACGCAACAACCTCGGAAGCATCAAAAGATTCATTTCACGGAAACATCCTCCCTCTTCAAGTTCTTCAAACGCTCACAAAAGTCTGAAGAGGAAGAAGAAGTGCACTCACGTCGTGCATCCGAGTTTCACCGCGAAATAAGTTGTTTCTTCGAGTCATTGGTTCGTCCCGGAGGCAGGCTCACGCGGGCAAGAAACGTGCCCGGGAACCGTTAACTGCAAGAGGAATTGCTGAAATATCTCAGCGTCGGTGCATCCGTTGGAAACACAGCCACAGAAAAAAAGGTTCCACCATCGGCGTCGCGAACAATAAGTTGCCGGAATGGTGAAGATGGATGCAAACGACGAACGGTAGCTACGCCGGCGCTCGTGAAACGCTTAAAAGCACCATCCTCGGGCGAAATGCCCGAACGAGACCTCGAAAATCGGAAGCTTGCGAGCATCTGTTGCGGTTACCTGAGCACCTTGCTTAATTGCCGTAGTCTAGCGACGTGAAAATATCGGCTACCTTTTCAACCTGATGCCTCGACAGTTTCCAAACATTGGGGAACAGGGTTATTTCCTGATCGTAAACGGTCTTTAACACCTTCGGATCTGGGTATGGTGTTGAGGTGCAATAAATAAAACTTGATATAAAATAGCGCCAAGGTTCCCTGGTGGAGAGATGTAAGAGGATAGGGAAAAGGGAGAATCTCAAATATCAAGTGCTATCAAATATCAAGTTTTGGATTTGTTAAAAATAGAATAGTACATAGAATTCTTCCTGAACAGACATAACACTATTCTACTGTAGTAGTAATTACTGTCAAGTGATGAGTAAGGGATGAGCTGAAATTGTAAATGAAATTTAAAAATTTTATATAAAATTGGGATATAGTACCAAAGTGCTCCAGTAGAGTACTTATTCCGGGAGAGGGTAATATCACGCGGTATCAGCTTAGTTTCGGAGATATTAAAAACTTTTGACAGAATACACAGAATTCGACCTGTACAAACGTAACATAACCATCTTCTGTAGCCCCTATTGTCAAGTGACGATCAACCGATGACATAGGAGGGAACGACCTCAGTATGTATAGGGTGTCCCACTAAGAATTTCGATGCATTAATCGTTGCATTAGTACATTCTGCATTCTTGGTAAGCGAGACAAAATAATTTCAATGTTCCAAAGCAATTATCGCCATGCTTTAAAGCGGGAGACCCCTCCCCAGAAAATATAACCTAACCTAATCATGCCGTGGTCCAATATTTGTAGACGAACTAAAATATTATCTATTCGTATATGCATAAGTGGCAAATTCACAAATTCATCGTACACAAACAGAAAATAGCTATGCTTGTGACCGTGTTATAGGTCCACTCTTAAGTAAAATTCTTTGTATCGGTAAGAAAGTTGTTTGCGAATATTTCGACAGCTTGTTATTTCCAGCAAAAATGAAAATCATGTTCGTATGCAGCGCGTGGAAACAAGTAGAACGAGGTTAAAATAAACGTGAGCTACAGTTTGTAAAATAATGTGTTTTATACATATGGGGCACCCTGTGGATACTCAGGTCGAGGGTACCTACAACGGTAGTTACTACAAAGGAGATGGTTGTGTTATGTATAGGCAGAATTCTATTATGCTGAAAGTTTTTTATTAACATCGAAACTAATAGGTTGATGCCATTTGATATTTAACTCCTCCCCCTTTCGTACATCCACAACACACATCACTATCGAACTCCCATAATTTTATAGAAAATTGTGTTGTAAAAGTCCTAGTAAGCTCAAAGCCCCAAATTTGACGTTATAGATTAATACCGTAAAGGATTGAACCGATAAGAATGCAACAGAAGAACGAACAAAATGGCGGTAACGCGGAAGAGACAGAAAAGAGGAATTGCTTATATCGGGACGACATGCCAGGAGCACATCCTGAAACACGAACAAAAGACGGAACACAGGAGAAGTCGGAAAGTTCGATGAGAAACAAGAACATATCAGGAATTCCTATCGAGCATCCATAGACCGCAGCCAGCAACCGGTTTCAAGTTTACGCGTTCAACTTTTCCGTATCGTTTCCGCGTATGTGCTCCTCACTTTATACGTCTTTCAATTTTATTGTGTATGTATTACTATTTTTCTGGAAAATATTTCCTGTTTGTGCACGAACCTATAAATCATTCAATTTTTCAAGTAGTTTATGTATGCGACGGTGTTTTATCGTTTCGAGGGAGTCGTTTGTATAACAAATGTACTGTTGTTAATTAATTTTAATGTTTTGTAGTTGTGCTTTTGAGAAGATGGTGTAGAGTTTAGTTTTGGGAGGTTTAGAGTTTAGGTTTGTATTAGAGAGGAAGAAATATTTGTTGGGATAGGAGTTTTGGAAATTTTGGTATTTTGGTAAGTTGGAGA